CAGGCTGAAGGAAGAAAAACAAAATACAAAAAAGAGAGATTACTGAGACAGGTAGACAAGGAGGAGAGATCGAGAGGGAGAGTGTGGGAAAAGATTGCTACCCCCTCCACACCGCCATCTACCCACCAACACTTGTCTGTACTTATCAAAAGAATCGTCATATTAGCCCAGGAGTTGAATCCTTTATCTCCCTGTGCAGGTGCCTTATGTCCTGGGGCTCCAGCACCGTTTGTCGCTGGAGGCTGCAGGGCTTGGCTGGTCTCAGCTAAGCTGGGCATCTCAGTGAGAGACAACTGGCAGATTACAGTCTCACAGGACATTCACTGCTACAGGTGGAAGGATCTATCCTTTATCCCTTCCTTTATCTTTTTCTTGTACATCCCTCACTCCACGACTCCTCCAGAGCTGACAGAGTTTTGCATTTATTGTATCATTTGTCATTTAAAAACAGCTACAGGTGACATGTTGGATGCATACTGTAGTAAATTATGGATAAACTAATTGAAAGGGACTATAATGCTTTGGGACAGATTACCAATGGCTTTACTTCTGCTAGCAATCAGATTAAAAAAATTATGAAAAAATACAAGCAGAGGAAAAACATGAATTTTAAAGGATAATATTTTTTTGTACAGTACGTTTAATTTCACATTACATTTTTCGTGTTGCAAACATCATTATAAAGGATAGCAAAATATCCATCCACTATCTATATCGCCTATCCCTGAATAGGGTCACGGGGGTGCTGGAGCCAATCCCAGGTGACTTTGGAGGAGAGGTGGGGTCCACCCTGGACAGGTTGCCAGTCTATTGCATGGCTGACTTAGAGACAGGAAACCACACACACCCAGTCAACCTAAGCTACCGTACATGTCTTTGGACTGTGGGAGGAAGCTGGGCAGAGAGAACCCACACAGGCACAGGGAGAACATGCAACTCCACACAAAAATTCCACGGGACAGCCCAGGCTCAAACCCAGAACTTTCTTAGAACTATTTTATTTTATGGACATACCAACTGATTACCAGCCTTAGCTAAAAGTAGTGGAGAAGCTGTGTTTGCTTGGTCATCGTGAATTCTAGAAATATTGAATCTTTGGATTGAAATTGTCTCTTTGGTAACTGACCTGAAGTTCATGGTGAGCAAATGCTAAGAAGAAGAAGATAAAGGAGTGAGAGTGTTTATGAGACAGTGGAAAGAGAGAAAACCTTAGTTTTTGCACTAGTCTGTCAAAGACAACAGCCCCCTCAGTGACACTAAGTGCCATCCACACTCCCTGCGGTCTGCTAGTTGTCAGACTACTAGAGCAAAGAATTGCCCAGCATCCTTATTTCCCGAGATAAGCTAATTAGGAAGAGAGTGTGGTGTAATGCAGCTGTTGGAGGCTGGAATGTAGCAAGGTGAGATAATGGTCACGATGGCTGGATGAGACCAATTGCATCCACCAACAGATTCTTCATACAGAGTCCTTTGTGGAGCAAAGTAGAAGGAGAGGGCATGGTGTGACAGTGGAAGATAGTTTTCAGCATTAGGTATCAGTGCTGCATCTGAAAATTAATTTGCAGACTATTTTTTAATCCATTTGACTATTCATTCTGTCTAATGTTAAAACAGAGTGAAAAGATCCATCACAAGTTCCCAGAGCCCAAGGCAATGTCTTCCAAAACCCAAAAAAAGAAAAACACCTATTTGTTACATTTATGAAAAACAACTGAAATTAATTCTGATCAACTAATCATTTCAGCTCTGCTGTGCATTACCACAAAATGTGCAAAGTGAAGACCACAGTGCAATTAAATAACATTACAGTAACCTTCAATTTGCTTTACGTGTGTATTGTGTAAATAAAACAAGATAAAAGACAATTCAAAAGCAGTTTATATTACCCTAACATTATTGTTACTTTAATCTCACAATCTAACATGTCTTCATTTCTTATTTATTGAATCTGTGATTTATAATAGATTGGAAATATTCCGATGTGTGATATTTCTTTTAATTAACTTTCCACTTCTTTGTCAGTCAGTAGGTGTGTGGATTGAAATAGTTCCACCTCTAATGGAGCCAACAGAAGAACAGTCAGAGTTGAAAGTAATGGGTTGCCAAACATTGCCTCTAAAGTTAGAACCAGCCAACCTTGATCAGGGGTAAACACCTTTTCCACATTTTTTTTATAGAAGGCGACAAAAACAGAGTAGTGCTTTTTAAGCAGTTGTCCTCAGCTCCAAATCGGACATAGAGACAGACAGTCAGTCAGTCAATCAGTCAGTCAGTCAGGGTAATTTTGGTTTTCTCAGAAAATCCTTCCTGTAAGTATGCGATGTAACAGCATAGTGAAATTCTATTTGGAGATGTCTGCCTCTCCATCGGGGTGTGTGTTAGCAGTAATTGTTCTGTCAATCAGCACAGCTCAGGCCTGCCTGCTTCCCCCTGCCACTTGTTAAGCCCTGGCAGAGGGCGAGGGGTGAGGAGAGGTGAGGCACGGTGAGGAAAAGAGAAAGGATACCTCTGTGTGATGCTCTGTCTGTCTCTCCTAGTTCACATTTGTCTGTCTTTACAGTGTTTTCTCCTCCTCTCTCCTGCCTGTTGGTTTTCATGTTCCCTTTTTACCTCTTTTTTCTCACAGTATTTCCCAAGTTTTTAGGTTTCATTGTTTTAGCTCTGCTTACTTAATTTCTGTCACCGTTTTCTTTTATGTGAATTTTGCCCCATTATCCAGTTATCTCCTCATTGTCCATATATTTAGTGTGATGCCTTCATATCTTCACCTCTGTTGTTTAATCTGCAGTCCTTTTTTTATCCTGGGGAAACAGCAGAAACAAGCTTGGCAAACAACAATGACATTATCACCTTAAAAATCAGACAAGATAAACATTCATCTGGAATTTGGAGTCTTACTTCTGGTCACCTGGTGAATGTATTCATCCTTCCTTTAGCTTTCTTTTCTCCACTAATGCTGCTAAACACTTGCCACCATACTTGAATTCTGTTATTAAGAGGAGAAACAAATAATATGGTCTTCGTCTCCCATTTCACTGACACAAACCCTTGTATATTTATGATATTATACAGTGTCTGATTGTGGATAGAAATTTAAACAAAGACAAATGAATTTACAGGAACATTCTACAGTACAAGGGGTGAAGACCACCTCCTATGCTGCACCTTTATATCCTGCAGTATGTAGGAAATTGCACTCGTCAGCTTTATAAAGAACCCTCCTGCCTAGAACCACACACACATCCCATCTTCTAACTGCCGCACTGCCATCCTGGACATCTGGGTTCGAGCATCGCAGTCTGTGACAGTAGTGCAATAGATGGTCTCTCTCTAGAGGACGGAGTGTCAGGCAGCGATTTGAAGACAGACAGACTGCAAAGGTTGTGTCAGAACTGCAGCAGACCTCACTGACTCCTCTTCTTGCTCAGC